AATTAATTTTCTACCTAACCGACAAATAAACTAAGTGTAGCACAACCTATCAAATTAATAATAATTGTAGCACACATCAATCTAGAGAATTATGGAATTTGCAACAATAAGCTATGGAATATCAAATCAAGCATAGATTGTCTACCTACCTACAACTATGAATTAAATTGTAGAACAACCCATCAAGCATAAGTATAATTCATCAAATTAATTGACAAACCCATCTAATAAAAACTATACCTAGCCATCTCTAAATTCTTAATTAATCACACATGGACATGTAACCAATATAGAGAATCTAGTGTAGAGATTAGTTCCAAAATAATCACACATAAGACAACATGTAATCACATAGAAAATCAATAAAAAGAATTAATCCATAGAAATCAAAGGAGAACCCAAGATTCATTTTATACACAAGGCTAAAACATTAATTACATGATAATTCCCCAAAAAGTTAAAAAGAAGGGCTTAGATTTACAAACTTGGGGCTCATCCAAGCTCCAAGGAGAAATCTAGCCAATCATGGAGGAGGTGGGTGTGATCTTGGAACCCTCAAGCGCAATCCCCAAATATGACTCTATTTTCTTCCTCTTCTTCTTTGTTGAATTCTAGAGAGAGAATATGTAGATCTTGAGATGTGTTCTTGGTGCCTTCACTCTTCTTCTCTTCTTCTAACCCTAATCTCTAACTTTTCCACAGAGAGAAACTAACTATTACAATGTAAAAATAAAATAAATTGAAGACTATTTACAAATGGTTCAATTCCCCATTTATACCAGCTTCTTGGAGTAGTGAACAAGTCAGAAAATAGTCATTTCATTGGTCTAATCTCACAGCCCATGTGGTAGGTGAAATTCTGGGCGCGTTCGGGAAAATATCACAACTGTTGCCAGTAGGTATTGTGTCAATGGTAAATAACCACTCGTAATAGAACGAATCCTTATAGGATAGGGCTATGTTGAGGGTGTCAAACCTCAAGGACTGTGGTGGTTTATCAAGTCTTCAATTAATACTATTTTTATTTAGAAAGAGGATTTAATTTGTTGTGGTGCAATAATATAAACAGAAAATAAATAAAGTAAAAGAAAATATCAAGGGTAGAGATACTTAGGGATTGACTTCACCACGATCCTCTTACTATGATCAATTGTTCAACCTTGGGATTTCAAAAATTTATATACCATATGAATTAAACTCAATAACATTCATTTAATTTTGTTTTAAAGAAAGATGTTTCATGAATTTCAATTAACTATAACCTATCTGCAGTTAGCTTGGACTATCCACCTACCTACTTCTAACTAATTTTGCAGTATAATCCATTTTTCCTAAGCATAGCCTATGAAAATATTCATTCACAAAAAACGTTTGAACACCATTACATGATCTCCATTCTTATGTCTGGCAGGGCTGCACCAGATACCATCTAATAAAAATGGGTTAAGAATAGTTTATAAACAGTTATATCTAAGGCAAGGTAATAACTATTCAGAAACTATTAATTCATTAAAACACCAATTGAGTTGGCTTAATTGCTCAAAATCATGTAATCAAAATATATAAACTATTAAATTCCCAAAGTATAAACAATCAAACCATAATAATCGGATCGGGTTACATTAATGCCCTAAGAAAGGAATTAGCCACTTATGACGACGCAAAATATCATCTGTGTAGTCTTCATCGTCAAGGTCTGCACTTCTCTCTTGGGGACTTCCTTTTAAAACCCTAAAAGCCGCCGTGAGAGAGAGATATGAGAGAATATGGAAGAGCCCATTTTTTGTGGCCTTCTTCTCTTCTTTTATAGTGGAGAACAAGTCCCAATCCCCTTAGGATTGGTTTTACATCTTTTGGTAACAATTGGGCCCATAAGGAAATAAAGAAAGGTGAAAATATATAATTCCCGTATGTATTTTTGACTTCCAGGACATCCAGTTTCGAGCTTTAGAGTTCAGGCTCAAGCTTTGAGGTTCAGGCTCGAGCTTTTGGGTTCAGGCTCGAGTTTCACCTGCTAGTAACTTGTTCTGACTTTGTAATGCGATTTTGACCCATTTAAAGTACAAATCTCAAGATGGCTATAAGAGACAAAAACATTGGGCTTCGAGTCTTCTTTCCAGAGCCTCTAAGTTTGCTCAATTTGGAGTTCCAAGTCAAAAGTTATCCCCAAAATAATAAAGTGGGTTCAGAGTTTTTAGCCATACTCGAGCCCGAAGTGGTTGTGCTCGAGCTTTAAGGTTCGGGCTTGAGCTTCTCTGAATTGGTGCTTGATCTTCACTTTGACACTTAGCCAAAATTCTTCAACTATTTTTTGAAGCGTCTTTTTCTTCAACACTTAGAATATTCTCGGGCTTTATCTCTTTTAACATTGCTCGATCTAAGTATTATAGGCTCGAGCACTAGGTACCAGGCTCGAGCTTTAGGTACTCAAGGCTCGAGTTTTAGGTACTTAAGGCTCGAGCTTTAGGTAATGGTGCTCGATCCTTAAGATTAGGCATGAGGTCCCTGGGAGCTTGGTTTTCCAATAAATCAACTCTTCAAATTCCGACACCTTTTACTCGAGCTTAAAGGTTAAGGCTTAAGCACCCTATGGTCAGGCTCGATCACCCTTTGTTAAGGCTCGAGCTTCAATGCCTTCTTAACTTTTCTTCTTTAACTTGTAGGGCTCGAGCCTTAAGACTTGGGCTCGAGCTTTGGATATTGAATTCCTCTAAACTTCACCATTTAAGCTCTCGGCTCACTCTGAATGACTAACAACGACTCTATAAACTTTATTATCATTATTTTCATCATAAAAGCCCGGTTTTAACTGCTTCTTTGGGAAAGTACCTAAAAACATGAAATACACAGAAATTAGTCTAACAACGGATAGAAGTATCACCTTAGGTCTTAACATATGTATATTTAGGGGCTCGAATATGCAATATTCAACGCTCATCACACCCTCAAACTTACATATTGCTAGTCCCTTAGCAATACAGAACTAAAAAGCCACTTTCGTGGGAATTATGGTTGCATTTAGCCTATGCAACAAGCCTTTAAACCCCTAGGTTACCCCTAGTGGACGAGTTGTAGTCTCGTAAGGGTTTCTAGTGAAGATACCCACAAAATTCTCAAATCAGTGCCTTAATTGCACGGTAAGTTCATTCAAACCTGTTTTCATATCATAATGTCCCAGCAATGCATCAATCAGTCAACGACAACAAGTATAAGGAACTATATTAAACAGGAAAAATCTCCGACTCTCAATATCATATCAGCAGCCATAGTCCCCATATGTTAGTTTAATCACATGTTTAACAATCTTGATCCCCAGAGTCCTTTTTAATAGTGAACTTACAATTTTAAACATGTAGCTTACTATCCATACTTATATCTAACTCATGTTATCTCTTAATTCACAAGTAAACCTTTCAAATTCTGATCCCCAATGTATTTTTTCTAATTTTTTACACGTTTGCATTTTTTTTCAAAAAGGATACTGTGCAATGCTCTGGTTTATTAAGCTTTCTAAATCACCCTTGTAACGAACTTTCAGCCAATGACTCCCAAACCAGATGGTTTTAGGACATTAAGTGATAAAACACCCCTCTGTACCTAATTGTTCAAGTAGTCTAGGCAACCTAAACCCCTTATGTAACAAGATTTTAGCCAATAACTCCCAAACCAGATGGTCTTAAGGCATTGGGTGTCAGAACACACCCCTAAGGACTTAATTGCTCAAGCAATCTAGGTACAAACCTGAACTTGATTCTTTTCTACTTCTTTTCTTCATTTTTTTTTTTTCATTGCATACATACCATATTATTTCTTTCATCATTTTTTATTTTTATTTTATATACCTTGGTTCTCAAAATCATCAAATTAACCTGCTCATTTCAGTTTAACACAAATTAGAATAAGATTTCATGTTTATACCCCACAAAATTCATGTAAGTGTGACTATGTGCAAAGTGAAGTATTCTAGGAATCAAAATCATCAAATTATAATTATCTTGACAAAGTGGACTATAGGCCACCAATTAATATAAATTTTTTTAGAAAATCCATATTTAGCATGAATTCGGCATATAAGCCATCTTTAGCCAATATTAGACTGCATATGGACATCACAACAATCAACAGACTCCAAATCATGCTTAAAACAATTAAAATGCATTCTCATGTGCACAATATATCAACAACAAATTTTTTTTCATTGCATACATACAATATTATTCCTTTTATCAATTTTTTTTTATACCTTGGTTCTCAAAATCATCAAATTCACCTTCTCATTTCAGTTTAACACAAATCAGAATAAGATTTCAAGTTTATACCCCACAGAATGCATGTAAGTGTGAACATGTGCAAAGTGAAGTATTTTAGGAATCAAAATCATTAAATTATAATTATCTTGACAAAGTGGACTACAGGCCACCAATTAATATAAATTTTTTTAAAAAATCCATATTTAGCATGAATTCGGCATATAAGCTATCTTTAACCAATATTAGACTGCATATGGACATCACAACAATCAACAGACTCCAAATCATGCTTAAAACAATTAAAATGCATCCTCTTTTGCACAATATATCAACAACAAATTTTTTTTCATTGCATACATACCATATTATTTCTTTCATCATTTTTTTTTATACCTTGGTTCTCAAAATCATCAAATTCACCTGCTCATTTCAGTTTAACACAAATCAGAATAAGATTTCAAGTTTATATCCTATAAAATGCATGTAAGTCTGAACATGTGCAAAGTGAAGTATTCTAGGAATCAAAATCATCAAATTGTAATTATCCTGATAAAGTGGACTACAGGCCACCAACTAATATAAATTTTTTTCAAAAATCCATATTTAGCATGAATTCGGCATACAAGCCATCTTTAACTAATATCAGACTGCATATGGATATCACAACAATCAACTGTCACGCCCCAAATTTTCTAAATAAATTTCCCAATTTATTCAAATCAAAATACTTCAAAAAAGACACCCAGGATCTCAAAAGTAATAAAATACCCTTTATTTATACAAATCAATTTCCTCAAAATAAAAATACATCATCTCTAAAATAATTTAAATAAATCTTCAACACCAACTCTTCCACCTAAGCCCGCAACTAGCAATTCACGGTACCTGAAATTGGAAGGGGGTGAGACGGAGAAGTCCTAGTAGGAAAAACCATAACAAGAATCTCAAGGGGTTTCATGAAAATTAGCTTCACAAAATAACACAAATGCTTTTAAACAAAATAACATATATGCAATTTGAAGCAAGAGAGCAATCACAAAATATTTGAGATAAAAATCACCCCAAACGATTTAAGGTAAAAATCCCTACTCTGCAAAATAATAAATACTCCTCATTGAATCATCTGAGCATCAAATCTCTCTATATATTTCTCGGCCTCCTCACTGTTTCCCTCTATTTTCTCTTCTATTTTCCTCATACAAACCCAAAGCACAAATACCTTATTTAAAGGCCATTCCACCGACACATTACAATAATATCTCACTTTCACAAAAATCTAATGGGTCCCGCCACTATCTTCTTTCCTTATCTTCATTCATTCTTTTATTTCCACATACATAGAACACATTCTCACCCAACATAAATCAGACAAAGCCACGTGAAGGACACAAACCAAAACAACAATTTGCTAAGAAAACAATTTGTAGGTCCTGCCATTATTACTACAAGTCACTTTTCTTTTTTCTTTTTTTCCTTATCTCTCTCCACTTCTGCAGTCCACCTGCCCTCATTTTCCAATAGACACAAAACTATATATATATAATATATATAATATCAAGCCCAACAAATATCTCTAAGTGGGACCCACCACTTTATAATCACAAAAATTTAACTTTTCTTCTTCCACTTTGGCTGCTTCTCTTATTCTATCTCCATCAGACAATATATATATATATATATATATATATATATATATATATATATATATATATATATCATACAAAATGAAACAAACCCACTTATTCTCAAGTAGGACCTACACCAAAAACCATCTAAATTTTCTCTTCATTCTTCTCTTTCAATTTTGGCACCTGCCTGCTTCCCTTTATGCTTCATTCCACAATTCATTACATATACAAACATACATAAGATAACAAAACCCAAATCAAACCATTCTCAACTCTTTGAAATAACAAGTGGGGCCAGCGGACAACCAATTTCATTTCTATCTTCAATTTCGTTTCTCAATCTCTCTAATTGATTTCGGTAGCAACCCCAATCCTTTAGATGCAAAAGAAATATATATGTAAATATCATCAATATATATCTATATAAAACAAAAATCAAATCCATTAAATAACTCAGTTGGGTAAGTCTCTAATTAAAATTAAAAATTCAATTGGAAAGTCTCCAATAACACAAAGTAATAATGAAATACATATAATTAAAACTCTTAAAAATTTGAGTTGTCACATCAACAGACTCCAAATCATGCTTAAAACAATTAAATGCATCATCTTGTGCACAATATATCAACATCAAAATTTAAAAGGCACTGTCTTACCCCCAAACTTAAGATGCACAATGTCTTCAATGTGTAAAAACAGATGTAGAGTTAGAAAGATATTACCAAATACGCAGAACTAGCAAAGATCAAGAATTGATAGCTTAGAGAAATGAAATCGTCACCTCACCCCCAAACTTAGTTCTTTGTACCTGACAAAATAATCACACTCCACATCACAATCAGAGTATCAAGTATATGGAGTAAAACACATATATATATATATATATATATATATATATATATATATCATTATATACCAGTCAATCAAAATTTTTTTCATTTTTTTATAATCAAAATAAAACAAAACTAACCTAATCTAAAAATAAAAGAAAAATACACAAAGAAACTAACCTATTTTTTTTTTTTCTTTTCTTTATAAAAACAAACCTAAACTAACCTAATCGAAAAATAAAAGAAAAATACAAAAATAAACTAAAAACCTAGAAGACTAAAAAGAATATAAAGAAAAATAAAAATAAACTAATCTAAAAATAAATAAATAAAAAAAATAAAAATAAAAATAAAAATAAAAGAAAAATAAAAATAAAAATAAAAAAACTAATCTACAAGTGCTAAGTTTAACGTCTCTAGCAGACGTGGGGGTGACTTGCTAGTCAAAACTATCAAAAATGAGATACAGAACATCCACGTTTAACCTCTTATCAATTTTCCCCATTACCTCCTCACTTACAGCAGTGAATTCATCCTCTAAAGGAATAACATGAAAATAAATGGAAGATTTAATATTGTTCTCTTCATCCATGGTCTTGAAAACAAAATCAACAACGGTCTACCTTGCATCCTTGTTGTGCTCTGGAAATATATTCAATGAATTACTTCTTTTGTTATTTAGTAAGGCAGTATCTTTTAAAGACTTAATTGGATCTTTAGGAAACTTACTCTCTTCATCATTTTTCTCTTCCTCTAAATGAATCACCTTTTCCCCGCTCTCTAAGGTATTGATGGCCTGAATAAATTTATGATCTAAAGTACAAGGAATATCCTCATCAATTATGTTGTGCTCTATTAGATTGGCCACTAGCTAACTTGACAATTTCTCCTCCTCTTGACGAGATAGAATATTCATTATTTGCCTAACGTCAACTTCTATTTGCTCAACATGAACTTCTAGCTTGGCTAGGGCTTGAGAATGAGAATAGAGAACTTGGGTTTGAGCATTAAGCTCAGCAGGAGCATTTAATAATTTATCTTCAAACCCAGGCGAGTACCTAGAAGGTGATGGAGTTGGTTTATCATAGAATTGTTGGGGAGGGCAGTGGTTATAAGGAGGATAAAAAGAAGTAATCAAGTCTATAGGAAGATGGTGATGCTTGCATTGAATTGGACTCAATTTCATAAGGAATAAAACATGATGGAGGGTTATAAGTAGAAGGATGTAATGGTCCTTATAACCTGTATCTAAAAATTCCTCCATTCACGCTCAATCCTCTTCAACATAAAAAAAATAATAAAAATAATAATATACAACAAAAATAAGTGCAAGGATAAAAGTAAGAAAAACTCAAAAAAGGTTTTGAAAATTCTATTCCTTCTACTTTGTTGCTCCCGCGCCTAAAATCTTGCACCTAAAAACCAAAAAGAAATCAAAAGAAAAATATATACAAAGTCCTAAACTACAAATTAAAACAAAACTAATCTCAAACTCAATAAATTCGTGACACAGTCCCCGGCAACGGCACCAAAAATTGTTGTGTCAATAGTAAATAACTACTCGCAATAGAACGAATCCTTGTAGGGTAGGGCTATGATGAGGGTGTCGAACCTTAAGGACTGTCGTGGTTTATCAAGTCTTTAATTAATACTATTTTAATTTAGAAAGAGGATTTGATTTGTTGTGGTGCAATAATATAAATAGAAAATAAATAAAGTAAAAGAAAAGATCAAGGGTAGAAACACTTAGGGATTGACTTCACCACGATCCTCTTACTACGGTCAATTGTTCAACCTTGGGATTTCAACAATTTATATACCATATGAATTAAATTCAATAACATTCATTTAATTCAGTTTTAAAGAAAGATGTTTCATGAATTTTAATTGACTATAACCTATCTGCGGTTAGCATGAACTATCCACCTACCTACTTCTAACTAATTTTGAAGTATAATCCATCTTTCCTAAGCATAGCCTATGAAAATATTCATTCACAAAAAACGTTTGAACACCATTACATGATTTCCATTCTTATGTCCGGTAGGGCTTCGCCAGATACCGTCCAATAAGAATTGTTTGAGAACAGTTTATAAACAGTTATATCTAAGATAAGGTAATAACTATTCAGAAACTATTAATTCATTAAAACACCAATTGAGTTGGCTCAATTGCTTAAAATCATGTAATCAAAATATATAAACTATCAAATTCCCAAAGTATAAACATTCAAACCATAAAATTGGATCGGGTTACATCAATGCCCTAAGAGAAGAATTAGCCACTCATGACGGTGTAAAATATCATCTGTGTAGTTTTCATTGTCAAGGTCTGCACTTCTCTTTTGGGGTCTTCCTTTCAAAACCTAAAAGCCGCCGTGAGAGAGAGATATGAGAGAATATAGAAGAGCCCATTTTTTGTGGCCTTTTCCTCTTTTTTTTTTTATAGTGGAGAATAAGTCCTAATCCCCTTTGGATTGGTTTTATAGCTTTTGGTAATAATTAGGCCTATAAGGAAATAAAGAAAGGTGAAAATATGTAATTCCCGCATGTATTTTTGACTTCCAGGATGTCCAGGCTCGAGTTTTAGAGTTCAGGCTCGAGCTTTGAGGTTCAGGCTCGAGCTTCACCTACCAGCAACTTGTTTTGACTTTGTAATGCGATTTTGACTCATTTAAAGTGCGAATCTTAAGATGGCGATTAGAGACAAAAACATCGGTCCTTGAGTCTTTTTTCCAGAGCCGCTAAGTTTGCTTAATTTGGAGTTTCGAGTCAAAATTTATGCCCAAAATACTAAAATGGGTTCAGAGTTTTTAGCCATACTCGAGCCCGAAGTGGTTGTGCTCGAGCCTTGAGGTTCGGGCTCGAGCTTCTCTAGATTGGTGCTCAATCTTCACTTTGACACTTAGCCAAATTTCTTCAACTATTTTTTGAACCATTTTTTTCTTCAACATATAGAATATTCTTGGGCTTCATCTCTTTTAACATTGCTCGATCCAAGTATCATGGGCTCGAGCTGTAATAATCCGGTCATTTTCCTTCCTTTCCTTTTCTCAGATTTTCACAGATATTTTTTTTTCCGTTGATCTTTTCCTTTCTAGGTTCAGTTTCTCGTCACTTAGTGTCATCCTGAGTGCTCGGGGATGGTATTCGAGACTCTTTTCCTTAGATTGACAACTTCCTTTGAGGACCGCGTCATTTCCACATTTTCATTTTTTTGGACACTATTCATTTTTCGTTCTTTTCCCTGTTTTGTCTTTCCCTATTTGTCACTTTTTGGCACAACTTCACTTTTTGTGCTCGAAGTTGGTTTTTGACTTCATGTGTCTTCATTCTAAGTGGTTTCCATGAAATACGTATCTTTACTTTTGTAGAAAGGTACTCTAGTTGCTCCCGGTGTCCGTAGGGGCATGGATGCATAGTTCTTTAGAAATGTTCTTATTTCTTGGGGTGTTTTTCATAAATACCTTTTAATGATATTTTATTTCAGGGGTTTCTAAGAAAATATTTTTTAGAAGATATTTTCATTCTGTGTCAGTTGCGTATTTTTCACTTTTTGGAGGGGCCATTGTGCAATTAATGAAAGTTATTACTAAATACCTCATTTTTGAGCCTGGATCCTTGTACGGGATTCATTTTGACTTTTCGTCAAGTCAGGTACTCTTAGAATTTCCTTCTGATTGTTTTTCTCCAGTTTCAGGGTTTTTGACCCCGGTTGCCGCCAA